GGGGCAAAAACCAGAGTTCCGAGGCGAATCCAACCGTGGCGACAAAGAGACCCCAGCACGAGCAGAGGCCCGGGCACAGTCCCCCCCAGAAGCGCCAGGCAGAAGGGAGGGAGGGCGGGAGGGGGGGAGACCAGACGGGGAGAGAAAGGCCACCAGGGCGGGGGGGGGAAAGGAGGGAGGGAGGGAAAAGGGAGGGAGGGGGCGCCGGAGCCGGGGAAGGGGAGAGCAAGAGGCGGGCGTTCGCAGCCACGCCAGACCCTAGAGGAGCAGAGAGAAAGAGGCAACAACACCCGATAGGCTTCGGCCACAGCCTCCACGCAGGACCGAGACCACCAGGGCCACAGGAGGGCACGGCTCACGACCGCCTCCTCCGAGAACCCAAGGAGGCCTGGCCCGGAACGGGGGCGGCGGGGGAAGACCGTCGGGGACCTCGAAGCGGCGGCAGGACACACGGCAGCAGCGACGCAAGCAACACCAACCGCAACGGCACAGACCACAACAACCACGACGGCGGCGCGACAGACAGCGACGACGACGACGGGACGACGGCAGCGACGGCAACAGCAACGACCACGGCGCGCAGAGGCTCCGAGACCGCCGCTCGGCCTTCACTGGCCCGGCTCGGGCAGGCCCCTCCCCCCCGAGCAGGCCCGGGCCCGAAGCGGGAGGGGGGGGGGGCGGGCACGGGGGGGGGAAGGCAAAGGGGAGAGAAGAAGACGGGGAGAGAAGACGCGGGAGACAGGGGAGACAAGAGCAAGCAGAGGGAGGAAGGGCGAAAGGGCCATGCGGCCTGCGGGGCTGGACCACCAGACGAGCGCTCCCGCGGTGCCGCCTGCTCAGCCACTCTGGGCGGCCCAGGCCCTCGGCCCCAACCCCCCCCCCGCCCAGCCCAACCCCACGGCGAGGGAGCGGGGGGAAGCGGCCCATCTCGGCCCGGCCCGACCCAACCCAGCCCTGCGGAGCGGGAGGACGGGGGGGGGAGAAGACAGGGCGATGTTTGTTGCGACCGCGGCGCCGTCGATCTGCAGAGGATTCGGGGGAGGGGGCGCCCGGGGGGGCGGGGAAGGGGCAAAAGCGGGAGGAGAAGGGCGAGGGGGGGCACGGCTCCAGAACGGCAATAAACAACACCTAAATGAATTACCCACTTACAAAAGGTGGCGGGTGGGCGGGGCAAGTGTCCTTCACGACCTCTGCCTGCCACTCCTTGGGCGCACGGGGCGCTCCCTGGGCGCAAAGAGGGAGGGGGAGAGGCGGGAGGGGAGAGGCTCTGCCGAAGGGGTCCTACCGCAGGGCAAAGCTACCTGCCTCAGTCAGACGCCAGGGGCGGCGACCACTCTGCCGGCGGCAACGGCGGCAGGCTCGGAAGCCTCGGCTGACCGGCGGCCGCCCAGGGAACGGGCGGGTTGCCGTTGTTCCAGGGCGCGGTCCAGGCCTCGATCTGGGCCAAGATCTGGTCCGTGGCCCCCGCGCTGGCAGACGCGCGCACATGGCCCTGCTTGCGAAGCCATACGTGGGCTGCTCCTTTTTTCCGCCCAAATTGCAACAGCACTCCCTTGGGGTCGGAGGACTTCTTCGGGACGTGGCACCACTTGCCGGTGGCCATAAGAGGGCTGCCCACAGGGTGAGTGTATGCCCAGTACAGCACAACCCGGTCTGAAGGAAGACTCCCGTCTGGGAGCCTCCGCGCCCACCTGTCCACGCTGGCGCTTGTCCACCGCTGCTGGCGCCGGGGCCTGCGCGCGCTCGAACTCCGGGAACAGCGGGTCGCCGGCCTTCCGCGTCGGCGTCACGGCTCCCTCCCCGGCCCCGAGCTCGCCGGAGGGGCTCGTCGCTGCGCTCGCAGCGGGCAGCAAGGCCCGGGCCTGGGCGTCGCGTTCCTGACCCAGCAGGGCCCGGGCCTGCGCCTGGGGCACCGCGCCCCCCCCAAGGGAACTGGCTGGGCCGCAAGAGCCACACAGGAACGTCAGCCCCGAGGGCCCCGCGGTGGCGACGAGAGCATACCCCTTCTGGCCGCACACCGTGCAAGCAAGGGTCGGCAAGGCGCTGGCTCCGAACCCAGCGCAAGTGCCCTGCCCAGGTCCGACTCCGCGGCCGCCCGGGACCGTCTGCCGGGCAGGCTCGTAGAGCCCAGCGAAGCTCGTCGGCTGCAGCGCTGCGCTGGCTGCGGGGGGCAGGGGGGCCTTCTCCGCGCTGGTCTGGGCGGTATTCCAGGTGCCCCAGCAGGTCTCGCAGTAGGAGGTCTCCGCGAAGACGCCCTGGCCCGCTACGAGCTGCACGCCCGCGGCTCCGCAGCCCTTGCACTGCGCCACGACAGCGTCGTTCTCGAGCGAGAGCGCCTCTCCGCTGGCTGCGGCCCCCTCCTTCGCCTCCAGCTTCGCCGGGTGTTCCTCGGCCGGGGCTGCGGCGGAGCTCGCGAAGCTTCGCCGGCTGCAGGGGGGCTTCCCCGCGTTGACCTGGGCAGTGTTCCAGGCGCCCCAGCAGGCCTCGCAGTAGAGGGACTCCGCGAAGACGCCCTGGCCCCCGACGAGCTGCACGCCCGCGGCTCCGCAACCCTAGCACTGCGCCAGGGAAGCGCCACGCTCGAGCGCATGCTCCTCACCGCCGGCTGCGGCCTGCCCCTTCGCCCCCACCTGCTCCGCGCGCTCCTCGGCCGGAGCTGCGGCGCAGCTCGCGGGCTGCAGCCCTGCGCCGGCCGAGGGGGGGGAGGTCTTCTCCACGCTGGCCTGGGCGGTGTTCCAGGTGCCCCAGCAGGCCTTGCAGTAGGAGGTCTCCGCGAAGACGCCCTGGCCCACGACGAGCTGCACGCCCGTGGCTCCGCAGCCCTGACACTGCGCCGCAAAAGCGCCGTGCTCGATCGAGAGCTCCTTCCGGCTGGCTGCGCCCTGCTCTTGCGGGAAACCCTGGTCTTGGTTCTGGCCGGCCTCGGAGCAGGCGCCCGCCCGGGCGGCGGCCTGGGGCCCCCTCTGTGCGTCTAGGCCACCGGCCGAAGATTCCGGGGGCGAGTCACTCTGCGTGGCCAGGAAAGCGAAGGCAACCTGACCCGGGGGTGGGCCGCCTGCTGCCGCCGCGGCCCTCCAGGACGACTGTTGGGCCGGCTCCATGAGGTTCCATTGGTGCTTCACGGACCTCTCGTAAATTGTTTTCTTGCAGGGACCACCAGGGTTGTGCTTGTACTCAAAAGCCGCCGCTGCCCCCAGACTGGCACGCATACTGGGCCTGTGCGCCATCCAGAACTTTAGGACTACATCCTGCTGCGCCTCCACCGAGGAGCCAACCTCCTGCTCCGTGGACTTGGTCCGCTTGGCAGGAGGCCCTTCCATGCCGCTTCCAGATGGCGTGGGTAGTGTAGGCAGTGGGCGGGGGGCCTTGCTACAGTCAATCCGTGCAGTAAGGATGCGCGATAAGAATGCAAGGGCCAGGGACAAAGAAGCGAAGCTCACGAGCGGAGCGCGGCCAAGGAGCGCAGCAAAGAACCCACCGAAGGGGCAAGGAAGCAAGGGTGCCCTGAGAAGGCTGCCCATCCCTATTATGCGGGTTGACTGTGCTGGCGGGTTCCCTGGAACCAACAGCTGCGGAAGACGAGAGAGGAGGGAGGGGAAGGAGGACAGAACAGAGGGGGGGGGACGGAGCCAGCACGCCGTCGAGAGCTTGCCCCTCGCCCCTCAGCGGCTCAGAAAAACCCATGGGACGAGGGCCGGTGGCTTCCTGAGAGCGGTCAGGATGAGCGGCAAGGGACGGTGTGCTGAGTCGACCCTGGGCCCCATCCACCACGCGCAGGCCCGTCCTCTCGGGGCCGTCCGATCCCCCTCCAGGACCACTCCTTCGAACAGCAGGTCCCAGCCAAAATGACGCGGCACCGGCTTCAGACACCAGACAGAACCGCAAAAGAGACGCTCAACCTCGATCGCCTTGCCACAACGCGTCGGCACGGACCCGCCGCAAAGGAGCGGGGGAGGAGGTAGGGAGGGCAGAGAGGAGGGAGAGGGAGGAGATGGAGAGGGCCCGGCCTGGCCCGGCCCAGCCGATCCCGACCCAGCCCGACCCGGCCTAAAGGGCGGGGAGGGAGGGAGGGAGGGAGGGAGGGAGGGGCGAGAGGAGGGAGGAGTGGTCCGAGGAGGAGGAGAAGGAGGAAGGGTGAGGGGCGGGGGGCGGATTGAGGAGAAGGAAGAATGAGGAGAAGGAGGAGAATAGGAGAAGAAGAGAGGGGATAGGCGCGGCTAAGCTGACCCGAGCCTGCCGCACAGCTGCGAAACAAGCTCGAACCTCCGCGGCGGCGGCAAGGTTCGCGAACTGAAAAAAAAATCCAAAGGAGCACAGGAGGATGAAGGAGGAGGAGGAGGAGGAGGGAGAGGAGTGAGGAGAGAGAGAGAGGGAGGAGGAGGGAGGGAGAGGAGTAGGAGGAGGAGTATAGGAGTAGGAGGAGGAGGGGATAGGGGGGGGGGAGGGAGGAGAAAGAGGAGGAGTAGGAGTAGGAGTAGAGTAGGGCCGGAGTAGGAGGAGGAGAGGAGGAGAGGAGGAGGAGGAGGAGGAGGGGAGGTAGGAGGAGAGGAGGAAGGAGGAGGAGGAAGGGGGATGGAGGAGGAGGGGGAGGAGGAGGATGGTAGGAAGGGAGGAGGGAGGGAGAGGGAGGAGAGGAAGAGAGGAGGAGGAGGAGGAGGGTAGAGCAGGAGAGGAGGAGGAGTATGAGGCGGAGGGGGGGGGTGGTGGTGGGGGGGGGGGGTGCGGGGGAGGGAGGAGGAGGAGGAAAATAATGTCTCCCCTCTTGAGTGGGTTCTTTGGTTTTTGTCCCGCCCTGCGCTGGAGTTCTGGTCGCCACTGCTTGTTTATGTACGCTTCTCTTTGTCCGTTCCTTGCTGGTCTGCTGTGCCAATCGGCTGTGCTGGTCTGCCGTGCTGGTCCGCTTTCCCATGCTGGTATGTTGTGTCTGTGCACTTTGTGTACGATGGCTGTAACACGGCAAACATAATAATCACGAACACGATGCCGTCGGAAGAGGACGGGCGAGACCAAACGACAGATCAGAACTGCGCGGCGCGCTGGCATGTGTGCCCAACATGGCGGACCACCACAACATGTGCTGTGTGCCGCGTGCGATGGGATTAGGCTGATTTCCAGGCCAGAGAGGAAAACGGCTTCCCGGGTCGTTTTCAGGGCACTGGGGACACTCTCTGTTGTCGATTCGCCGCGGCCGCCCAACAATGCTGTCAGGCCTCGGCGGGGCAGGGAGCAGACAGTCCCTCACCAGTCCCGGGGCCAGTACTCGCGCAGCAGATCTGCGAGGCGGGCGTTGTGGCTGCTGTAGAAGCTCCTCAACTTCTGCATGGCCTCGGGCGCCTCGGTGTCAGCGTACCAGCGGCCCTTGTAGTCGTGGTTGGCAAAGCTGTGGCCTATATCGTTGAGCTGTCCCCATGGGTACTCCTCGAAGGGCAGGCCCACGTGCGCCAGGAGCTGGGTCGCCTTGAGGTCTGCTCCGTCCACGAGGTTCACGACGAGGACCTTGTGCTTGCCGAACGTTTCAAACCATCTCTGCAAGCTGTCAACGTAAACGCCCTTTAAGATTGAGTTCTTCCGTGCGTCCGCACAATTTTTGGGGCTGCGACCTGCAGAACTCGCTGTCTTCCTGAAGCGCCGCAACCCACTCGGCAAAGCTAGCTGGACGCTTCACTTTGGCGTCGTCGAAGAAGCGGTACAACGCCTTCTCGTCCCACTTCAAGTGGTGGTAATACTCGGCGTACAGGCGGGCGGCTGGGTCGCAAAGGGTAAAGATGACCTTGGCATGCGGTAGCAATCTCTTGGCATGTGCAGCCACATCTGGGAGCAAGTGCGTGTCCAAATACGACGGGGATTTGTCCACAGTCAGGTTGTGGAACCCATCTACCCGGGGCAGCTGCTGTGCCAGCAGGTGCTGGCCCTCGTCGCCTTCGTAGTCCCTCGGCGGGCTGCGCAACGACGTCAGGTGGGTGAAGTAATTCGACTCCCACAGCCTCTCGGCTCCATCTTTGGAGGCGCCCTGGAACCTCTCCATGCAGTCCGTCGCATTGTCGTGGCACGGCGCGCACTCCTGGCCGCGGCAGTAGTGGAACTTGACCCAAGGGTGCAGCTGCAGCAAAGAGCCCAGCGAGTTCGAGCCGCACTTCATGGCCCCGCCGATGATGATGACCTGGGGCCCACAGACTCGTCGGCCATCGTGGTCACGCTTGAGGACCACGTCGCAGATCGCCCTCTCCCAGGCGGGCTCCGAGGTGACGGTGAGGTTGCCCCTCCGCTGCCTTACCCAGGGCCCCCAGCGCGACCATTCACCGGCGGCTGCGGCCTCCTGGCGCTGTGGGGGTTGGCGCAACCCAGAGCCGCCCACTGCGGCCAGCAAGATGGCGACCGCTGCTCGTGCCGGGGGCCTGCGGTGCGCCCACACGGCCGCCTCTCTGTGAGGCGGCCACATGTTGCCACCTCCTCGGCCGACGCCTTACGTGTGCTCCACGCGCCTCTTCGGTCTATGCCGCACGCGCACTCCACATGTCCACCAACAGCGCGGACTCAGCCGCAGATGACACGAATGGAACACACTGTAAGTTCGGTCGTCGAAGTTCCCTCGAGCCACACGGGCTACGGAAAGCCTCAGGGTACTGTGCTGAAGATATCCTGAGCCTTGCTGGGACGTGTTCGGGTGTCCTCTGGGGAACCGTTCGTGGTTGCCGTGGACTCCGATGCGGTGCTGATCTCTCTCTCTCTCTCTCTCTCTCTCTTTCTCTCCCTCTCTCTCTGTCTGTCTGTCTGTCTGTCTGTCTGTCTGTCTGTCTGTCTGTCTGTCTGTCTGTCTGTCTGTCTGTCTGTCTGTCTGTCTGTCTGTCTCTCTCTCTCTCTCTCTCTCTCTCTCTCTCTCTCCGATTGACACGCATCTTCGGATCCACGGTGGGTGCCGCGAATCACGAGGTGCCTATTCCCCAAACGCAGTGCTCGCACTCGGGCGTCCTTGCCTGTCTTCGCGAGGGCTGGGCCCGTGTGCCGGCCTGGCGGCTCCGTGCGCGGCGCCGCCGCCCCGTCGCCGCCTCGTCACCGCCCGTCGCCTGGGCTTAAGTCGGGCGCGTCCCCCTACAGGGGGATTGTCGTCGAAAAATAAAGAATACCCCACAAATACTC